CAATGACATTACATTCCGATTGAAGGCCGGGAACTCGTGGACGCATTTCGGAACTCCCTCTTCATCCTCTCACAAGTCCACTGTGATTTTCTCAATGCTTATAGTTAATAAAATTATTCCCGCGATCATCTCCTTTGGAACGCAACAGGGCGGCAGTATGCTGGGCGGCCCGTCTTCTTCTGTGTGGATAAAGCCTTACGAGCGAAGAGCGAGTGGCAAAATCAGTCAGCTCAGCTGAGGCTCATACCAATAAGCATCACAACTGAGTCGACAGCGGGGTTGGCCGAGTCCCCTGACTCTGTCTCATCGAAGACTTCCTCGCAACCCTCCCCCTTAGTCCACATCATCCGGCAAAATCGCACAACGGACCAGCGGGTATGCAATAAGAAGCGACGCACGACTCCAACGGAGCGGCGGTCGTGCCACACCAGTCACCGAAAACGGTTACCTGTCAGAAAGAGGAAGCATCAAAAGCAGTCGATGGCTGGACCCGCCAGTTCAGGTGGTTCAGCCCCTTGATATTCCTCACCACCCTCCGTTGAAGAAAGAGGAAGCATCAAAAGCAGGCGATGGCTGGACCTGTCAAGTCCACGTTGGCCGGAAGTGACCCCCTCACTTGCCTCACGCGTAGCAGCAGCGGCAGGAAAAAAAAACAAGAAAAGAAGAAGGAAAAGAAAGAAAGAATGAATATGTGGTGGCCTTACCCATCGCAGGAATAGTGGGATTAATACCTGCTGGTGGTCATCCTCATCAGGCAGTTGCTGGGCCTGTGCAATACTTTCTGGCTGGCAATTAGTGCAGCAATGTCTATCGTCTGCTGCTCACCACCACTTGCCCAGCTCTACTGTAGCCAACCTGCTCGGCCGATTCCAGAATGACCCCATGGAAGCAACCAAATTCACAGCAGCATCTGGATGCCAGCTTTTGTGGGGGTTGAGCTCCACGGCTACGCAGCAAAAACATGGTACTACTTGTCGTCTTTGGCGAGACCCGCCCGACGATCCCTTTGCATTTGCTGACCGCTCCCCAAAACGTGGTACTACTTGTCTTCTGTGCGCAGGGCAGAAAGAATACTCCCTGGGGCGGGGGGGAAATCTGGTTTCCGTTCAACCGCTGCACCCACCCAAGGACCCCTTTGCGTTTGCCAACCCCTTTCCTCGACCCCTCCCCATCACTACCCTTCCAGCTTTTACCCCCCCCTTGGCAATTGCGGGCTTAGAAGATACCCCAGGAACCACTGGGGACGCATAGGGCTCAGTCTTTGGAGTCGCATGTCCTACCGCTTGCCTTGCAAGAGCACGCGTCTCTCGCCGTGCCGGCGACACCACAGCAGCTCCCGTCCCGGAGGCCCCTACGATGGTATCCTCAGGACCATTGTTGCTCAAATGGGAAACGCTCCCAAGGCTGCCTTCCTTCTCCTGTTCCCTCTCGCTTCCGTCCCTCTCCTTCTCGTCTCCCTGGCCCTTGTTTCTTCTGCTTCCACTACCTGCACTTCTAGGAGATGCCCCTTTCCATGGGACATCCATGGCCCCAGTTGAAACTGGAACCGGGACACCCACCGAGTTCCCTCCACTTTCTCTTTTCCTTCTCCTACCCTGGGGAAATGCCAGCTTGGCTGGTTGCTCGTCGAACGCCGACACTGCCTGCAGCTGCCCCTCGGCAGCACAGGGTTCACCTTGCGTCATAGACAGCCGTTGTGACAATGAGCGTGATTCGGACTGAGAAGCCATTCCCGAAGGAGAGGTCAGCGCCGCCACATCCACTGGAATCGGTGCTGGCACCGGCAATGACAAACAGTTTCCACTTCCAGCAGAAAAACCCAAAAGTAACCCCTTCTCTATGGCATGCCATGTGCCGGCAAGCATTGGGCTTACCTGCCCTTCTTCCCTCTCGGGTCTTGCAGGCCAAGTGTCGTTGATCGTTTTCATCAAGCATGCACCAGAGGCCGCATTCCTGTCCCCCTCGCCTTTCATGCTCTCCGATTTGAGATCGGTAGAACATAGCTGCGTCACCTGCGATCGTCCCACTCCCACTGTTGCCTGTTCATTGCCCTCACTCCCACTGAGAAATAAGCACCGTTCAAGAGGCGAACAGTCACCCCCAGTTGAGACCAGGTACATTCCAATATCCTCTGTGGCATCCTTCTAGAAAGACATCGAGAAAACAAGCAAAGAAAAACAGACAGCAAACAGGTGTCAGAAAGGGAAACACCTAAAGCGGACTGTCGCATACACAACCAAACATGACCAGTACAGCGCAGATCCAAGGAGTCGACTCAAAGCAAAAGACTATATAAACGCAGCGGAAGACTGAACATACATCTGACACAGCAATATCAGAATGGACAATGCACACGCATACATGTATCACACGGTGAGAAGCGGGCAGCGCAGCATACAAGGAAGGGGCACTGTCCCCTGATCATCCTCGGACGAAGTAGGGGGGAGAGGGAGACGAAGGGGGAAGAGAGGGGAGAGAGACCAAGTCGCCAATCCCGAATGTCCCCGAAGTCCCAGTCTCAATACAATGTCCAAAAGTAGACCTTCGCCCGAAATACCAGAGCAGGGCAATGGCCCGAGTGTTCCCAAGTTCAGATCTCAGATACCTCTCTCTCTCTCTCTCTCTCTCTCTCTCTCTCTCTCTCTCTCTCTCTCTCTCTCTCTCTCTCTCTCT